CTCGTCCCTGAGAGGCCTCCCAAAGTTAAGGAGGAGGAGCGATCATACGCGGAGCGTGTTGCGTCCCAGGTGAGCTCCCTTTGTCTACCACATCAGGAACGAGAATGACACTAATTATCTTACCTGCAGAGTTCTGCTATGCGTTCTCCACGTGGCACGCCTTCTCCGCGCAAACCTACCGGGCCTCGACCTCTCAACTCCGGCTCCCAATACAGTCCGAATCGCAGGAAGATGAGTCAGTATCGAGCAAGCCCCGACCAGGTTGATGTTGAACACGACCACTGATCGGTTGTCACGCAACATCACTCAGACAGAGGCTTTGAGTGACACCTCCAAGACGCTACCCAATCTCAGCTAGGGATTGTGATCCTTGTGCTGATCAGTGTTTAATGACCTTAATGACCTTTGCAGTTGAACATTTACCTGATAATTTGTCCATCCCAGCGTTCCTGCATATCACATCTGCAGCCTCTTTTTGCCCTTCCTGATGACTTGCTTTTGGTGGAACCGGTGGAGGTTGTAAACATTGATTTTATGGCATTACCAAATGTACTTTTCTGCCCTATTTGCGCACGAATGATTCCCTACTGTCTTCATGTTCCTGCATATTTTGTTTTTTAGCAGACCAGTTTTGTCGGTCACTTGTGATGATGCTGGTGATGAATGTACTTTGCAGTCTCTTGCATAGCCTGGACATAAAAGCATGGTTAAACCCCAATTCTTCCCACCAGTCACTCTTCCACTCAAGAGAGCCAGCGCTTGAGTTCATGATCCTGACACGACTATCAAGGACTGTGGCCATCATAGATGCAGTGCGCAATCGAAATGCGGGGTAAGTTATCAAGAACGACATCATCCCCTCACCTGAACTCCTCCGTCTGTAGAACATCTAATCTTCTCTCAACCACAGCGACGACAACATTACATTTATAACAAGAGACAACCTTTTGGACCGCAAACATGTCTGACTCTTTGGAGCTCATTATGTGTTCCACCTGCGGAACACAGTACGGTACCACCTCCGAGTCCTCCTGTAAGATCTGCGACGATCCACGCCAATACCTCCCTCCAACAGGGTAGGCATCGCACCCAGCACTCACTTACAAGTAAAATATCTACTAACGTTGTCAGTGAAGCCAATCTTGGACAACCCTCCGCACTCTACAATCTGCAACCCAATACCACAATGACTTCGCCCCAGACCCGGACCACCCGGACTCACTGATAACCATCCACACAAGCCCCAAAGTCGGCATCGGCCAGCGCGCCTTCCTCTGCCGCACAGCCCACGGCAACGTCCTCTGGGACTGCCTCTCCTACATCGACGAGGACACAATTCGCCGGATCAACGAGCTAGGCGGCCTCGCCGCGATCGTCATCTCGCATCCGCACTTCTTCGGCGCGAACGTGCACTGGGCGGAGGTGTTCGGGTGTCCTGTCTACATCGCAGCGGAGGATAAGGAGTGGGTGATGCGCAAGTCCAAGAGGCAGGTTTTCTGGGAGGGGAGCGAGTTACGGATCCCCCTGCCGGGTAAAGGCGATGGAGATGCGGACGCAGACCTGGTAGCGGTGAAGACGGGGGGCCATTTCCCCGGCAGCTCGGTGCTGTGGTTCAAGCCGTTGAGGAAGTTGCTGGTTGCGGATTCGATTGCGGTCGTGCCGAGTGGTGTTTATCATAAGGATCGGGTGCCGGGGACGGCGTCGTATACGTTCATGTGGTCGTATCCCAATATGGTTTGTGGTTCTTGCTTGGTTGTTGGTATAGGTTGAACTGACCGGACAGATCCCCCTGCCGCCTGACGCGGTGCTCAATATCTGGAAGGCTATCAAGCACACGGAGTTCGATGATGCTCATGGTGCCTTTGTCGGTTGGGACACGCATGGCAACAGCAAGAAGCGGGTTCTGGAGAGTGCAAAGATCTACGTTCGGGCAATGGGATATCTGGATCATGCCATACATCAAGAACAGTAGCCCTGCTGCTCTGTTGTTTTTGGATGCATTCTTGCTGATTTGAACTATGGAATTGGGTATTAACCTGAATACTAACCCTGTTTCTGACACATGAGACTCCAAGTAATGATGAAAACACGCTTAACTCTCCATATCCCAAACAGAACAAGCAAAACCAAGAACAGGCCAGGCAATCCAAAGTCCACTCAAACGTCAGAAAACGGCCTGACAGAAGTGGTCCCTCGGCCTCTTATATGGTGTGGTGCCGTGGCAAGAGAACTAAAATCCAGTCCATCACTGATGGGAAATTTTCCAGGAAAACTTTCCACCGAGTGGGTTGCTCGCAGAGTCTCCATTTCAAGAAGAGTCTGGTCGTTCGCGGAGTCATCGGTCAGTCGATGCTGCTGTCCATCCGTCGACTCCATCGACATTGGTCGACTGGTGGTGCTGAATTGTGACCTGCCAGACACAAGCTTGGCATACTGTGCTGCCGAACCTGCCATATGCTGCTGCATACTCGAGGAACGCGAGTACATTCTGCGCACAGAAGTACTTCTTTTCATCGTCGTGTTCGAGTAAAGCGAATCGCTGCCGGCCGCTGGGATCATTGAGTCCATGCCATTTTCCGACTTGTTTTTGGCGAGCTCTGCCTCGCGATCCACGAGTCCCTGAGACATGCGCACTGCAGGCTCAATACTGGAGGAGACTTGCATCAGCAGACTGTTCTGGTTGGACGATGTCCTCTCGGTAGACTGTGCTTCCACCGCATTTGTGGGCCTCTGGGACTGCTGGATCGAAGTCGAATTCGTTGCAATGGAGGTTAAGGGAAGGTCGTTGGAGAAGAAGTTCCCGATAACGGGTACGTAGTAGCTTTCCGGAATTGATGATAGAAAGATCCGTACGATTTGCTGCTCTCTGCGATGGATGGCTCCGCGAACCGGGTGCCGTACTGCTGCTTGCTCTATGCGAAAGACCAGCGCCACAGCATGCAGCATCTTCAGGGTCAACAGTGCTCCTACTAGCTTGAGGACCTGTGCCAGACTGATCGCAATAGGTTCATGTTTCTGAGACAGGTCCTTAGGTGCTGACGTCGCCATGAATGCGGTCCTTGAGATGAAGCGGTATTATCTATGCTGAGACAGGATATGTCACAAAAATGAATATAGAGCAGGGAGGCCATAAATGGATCGAGATACTATCCATTATACAAACAAGTAAGAGTTCCTGTTTTAGGGAATTCGCCAAAAGTAGCAAGCTATATTTGGAGGAAAGAGCAACCGGCAATGGCATTTTCAGCATAATGGATAGTGTCCCAAGAAGATCAATAACGTAGCTCGACTTGTAAAATATCATCTAGGTCTCAATGGCATCTTCTACCACTGAAGGATCATGGACATCGATCTATCACTCCAGGTGCTCTTCTTGGAGATGCCGCTAGTCCTGTGTACTGCCACTGCCTATCTTCTCGCATCTCCCCCATCACGTCACTTGATTCGAACCTCACCACCATACCTTAAGATTTCCCCGCACCCAAACAACAACTATTCCGTTCTATGCTTGCATCTCGTACTTTCAGCCGATCCTCATCTTCAGCCGTCTCAATGGCACTCTCACTTGAGAATTATGCCCTCCGACAACGACGCTTCGCTCCCCTCAACCCAGCCCTCGCGGAATCTTCTGATGCGCCTCGGTTAAAAGGAATTGTGTTCGATGTTGACGGCACACTATGGTGAGACTCCTACTACTAAGAGAAAACAATCTGGCGTATTCTTCTTTATTATGATTCAAGATGCGCTTCACGCTCATTGAGTTCCAATAGAATACTCTAGTCCTCACTAACCGCAACAGCCTACCACAGAATTACATGTTTACCGAGATGCGGTAAGGACTCATCAGCCAATACCCAATTCAAAAGATATGACTTGCTAACAGCCCATAGTAAGGCTCTGGGTATCGACAAGAAAGTCGACATTCTGCACCATATTCGGGGTCTTCCCACGGCTGCCGAGCGCACCGCGGCAGCCGAAAAAATCAAAGCCATCGAGCGAGAGGCGATGAAACACCAACAGCCTCAACCAGGTCTGGTGGACTTGATGGACTACCTCCAGTCCCGGGGATTGCATAGGGCCCTCTGTACACGCAATTTTGAGTGCGTCGAAGCCTTACCACTGCTTCTCTAGTCACTCTTGAACAGTTGCTGACTGCGCTATGTATGACAGGGCGCCGGTGATGCATCTCTTGCAGAATCACCTTCCTTCTCACGTTTTTCTACCCATTATTACGCGGGAAACCCCCGGCCTGCTTCCCAAGCCTGATCCGGCTGGGATTCTACATATTGCCCGGGAATGGGGGCTTGACAATCGCGCTAAGAATTTGATAATGGTAAGTCGGCATCTTTTTGATTCACTTGTATTCAGAACTTAATTCTGTCTTCTTGGTGTTGTTGCAGGTTGGCGACAGCATTGATGATATGACTGCTGGTCATACGGCAGGCGCAGCGACGGTGCTGCTTGTCAACGAGCACAATGCTCATCTCAAGGACCATGCTCATACGGACCTCTGTATCGAGCGTTTAGACGAGCTGATTGACATACTAGAAAACGGTTTCGTTGGTCAACGCGGAGGAGATAAGCCACCCACAAGTGACAGGGAGGGATAGAGGATAGAAGGTAACCTTCAATTGTCACATGGTCTGGTATTGTATAGAGCGCAACCTGGTGTACTGTACATATGCGGGGAATATATACAGTCCGAGAATTGGACGCAAAGGCGTATTCTCAATGCCCTTGTGGATATAGACTCATGAAAACATGGTCACGGTCATGGTGCCCGAATTGGGACATGATAGAAGATAATGCTATCTAAACAAAACCCCCAAGTCACGACTCGAATAAAAGGCAGTAGACCCATAAACGCCATTGCCCTTAATACACCAACAATAGTCGCATGCAATATACAATGTCATCTGGCGAGGTAGAGTCGCTCACAGACTTTGGCAAGGTAACCAGGCCCCTGCACTTTCATGGGTATCATTACACTGTCCATTTCATCATAGTCTGTATCTGTCCCAGTTCTTTTTTGCGGCACTAGGCATCGGACGATAGCCATCTCCGTTGGAACCTCCGCTGGCACCACCTCGTTTGCTCCCACCTCCACGCCCGCCTCGACCGCCTCGACCCCCGCCGTTTCCTCCGCCTCTTGTCTGACGGGATGGCTCTGGTCGATTCCGAGGAGGCGAGCGAGGCGGTGGCTGCCGGCGATCATTGGCTCTACCCCGGCTCGGGCGCGCGTTGGGAGACATGGAGCGCTGGCGGGAATTGTGGCCCCCATAGTCCTGACGGTCTCGGTACGTCTGACGGGTATCCCGGTCCGAGGCGCGAGGGCCAGCAGGCGCAAGATTCTTGCCCCTTCCTATCCCGCTGCCGATTCGGATGTTGGGCCGGTTGGTGTTCGCGTTCGCGTTCCGACCGCCGGGTTGGCGGCCCGCCCTGGGCATCATGTCCTCGCTGTCTGAGGATGCCGAGGGTCGGTCCGCACGGCCCCGGATTTGCATGCCGCTCTGGCCTCTTCGGGAAGCTGGTCCGCCTTGCCTGCCGCCGGTTACTGAGTTGATGTTGGTCACCATGTGCGGGTCGATGCCTCGGAGGGTGAATGATGAGGAGACCATCGATCGTGAGAGGGACGGGCAGTCGCCGACAAGGTGGCGGTTGCTGGTGCAGTGGGAGCACGAGATTGAGACCAGCACGGGCCCCGAGGGCAGTTCCTGCCGTGGAATCTTCCACATCATATCGCACTGGAGTTCCAGGTGGCTAGATGATCCACAGAGATCGCAAGGTACCTCGGATGCGGAGCCTTTGAGGAGCGATGAGCATTGTTCTTCATCGTGACCGCGTTCTCGACATCGTTGACATCTCCGCCAGGATGGGCAGAATATGCTTTGGTGTTGGTTCCAGGCGCCACAATGTACGCACTACAGGTAATCAGTAATCGCGTTTGATAGACTGCAGTAGACTTCGAGTGTCATGGGGGGCATATGTCTGACACTTCAGTCGAATGTTTCGAAGACATACCTCTTTGGTAGGACACACTGCTGCAAGATGTCCCTCTTTTAAGCATTCGGTGCACGATATCGGCAATTGAAGGTTGATGTCATTGATTTCGCGGTCATAGAACAAGCACCTAGCCTGTACCTCCATATCATTGCGATCGAGATCCGCGAGTATTGTCGGCGCAACCGAGTACTTTTGGGAAAAAAGACGATGTGATTCTTCCTTTGATATGGTCGATCGGTCGCCTGCAGCGGTACCATTCACAGAAACAGGGTTTACTTCAGCGGACAAGCCGTCTGTTTGATCATTCTGATCGCCAATATTCAGCAATATAGAGTCATCAGCTTCGGAATCCAGAGATACGGAGTCATCCGAATCTCCAGATTGATCCATGTCACTTGACTCTGCGGATGTCTCCTCGTCAAGTTCTCCTTCCTCCATGTCACCCTCGTTGTCAACCAGCGTGACATCCTGATCGCCACCATCACTAGACACGGAAGCACTGCGACTGCGCCAGAATTTGTCGTTGACGGCCTTGAACTGAGAAGAAGCCTGTTTGTTCTCGCCCGTCCTGTCCGCTCGCCTGGATAGCGACGTTCTGATGCCGCTCTTGCTCGTCTTGTTCCAGTTAATGGCAGGTGCCTGAGGATTCGTCCGCGCGGTATTCTGTTTCTCCGCATCGGACGTAGTGGATTTGCCGTCGCTATCGCCGTCGGACGAGTCAGAACCAGAGCTGGACGGGCTGTCCGGATCTACCTCTAGGGATGCTGCAGTGAAAGCAGCGCCTTGAGGCACAAAGTCTCGTACGTCCGGCACCGCAGATTTGCCATTTCTCCGTTGCCTTTTTCGAGGATTCGGGTTTGGATCCGACGAGTTGGGGCGCGACGAGTCGGTCGAGTCGTTCAAGCGGCTGCGCTGGACACCAACAGAGGCGGTTCGCGAGTCATTTTCATTATCGGAAGATCCCATCATAATGCCTCATCAGGGGATTTGGCGCCTGCGAGGTGTCAGGAAGTCACCCTGGTGATAAAATAAAAGGTTAATTAAGATATGGGTGGACATTGTGCATTCTGGGGTTGTTTCCGATCGATAAATTTTACAGTAGCCGATAGAGACCAGGAACGTCATTTGTCGCCGCTGGAACATGGTCTACGGTGAACGTGAGGTTGATCAGGAAGTATTGAAATCTATCTTGGGAGCCATTGTCGGTCTGCCGTTGTGATGATATTCACTGTGCATTAACTAAGTATCAATATGGATCAAAATGGAGCTGCAATTGAATATAGCCCACGGTTTGGGAATAACAGCTCCAGACGGCGTACGGAGCACTAGTAGATAGTGTGGCCTCAATTCCCATGTGTATAGCCAGGGGGGAGATAAAAATAACAATGCAGATTGATGAACATGTTTATTTTGTAGTTTATCTAGGGAGCAGTCTAGAACATATCCAATATAGCAGCAATTAATGAGGTCTTTAGGTCTGGCCTCTGCACTAGTTCATTGACTTTGTTCTATCTCTTCTTCACCATCTTCTGCTTCTCCTTGTGAATCTCCAATCTTTCTTTCTTCCGCCGACCTTCTCTTCTTTTTGCCCCTCGACTTCCAGCTACGCGTCGACCGTCTCCTCAGGTTTTCTTGTCACTCACTGCTCGAATTTCCTCTTAGTTCTTTGGGCTATCATAGTATCGCCATTCATTGTATCCTTTTTCTTTGCTTTTGACCTGTCTCCCAGTCTTGTATTTGCCAACAGTGCAGTTGTTGTCTGCTGACTCCTGTGACCCATCATACTGCCGGTCCTCTAAGATCTCGCGGTCGGAAGTTCTGCGCGAGTGTCCATTCTCATTGGAAAAGAGTGAGATTCTCCAGGGAGAAAGAAGAAGGCCTGCGTTCATTGGTGGTTCCTGGTCTTGCTTTTTCTGCGCCTCCCGGCTTATCTCTGGCAACCTCTTCGAGCTCGCTTCGTACGTTCTGACGAAACACCGCCAAAGTGTCTTCCCTACTCGTTCCCCGTGCTATCTCCTTCCCTCCGGAAGTCGACACTGGTTCGCGCCGGTTGTCTCCGGACTCCAATATGTCTCAATCCAAGGCTGGTCGGAGGAGGAGATCGAGCAGTATCATCTACCAGGAGCCGCCGGAATCCATCGAGCATACCAGTGATCAGGCTGCTTTGCCGAACCTCAATGCTAACTGGGTCAATGCTAAGGGTACGTGAGCTACATATTGTGATACAAGCGAGTCCATGTTATTTGAAGGGACACAGCTTGGTATGGGCAAACAGCTGACTTGAGCTCGTCAATTGCAGGTGCCTGGACAATCCATTTCGTTCTCATCATCGCCTTGAAGATCTTCTACGACATCATTCCTGGCGTCTCGCAGGAGACATCATGGACCCTCACGAATATCAGCTATATGTTCGGCTCCTTCATCATGTTTCACTGGGTGCGGGGAATTCCATTCGAGTTCAACGCTGGAGCATACGACAACCTCAACATGTGGGAGCAAATTGACAACGGGGACCAGTACACGCCAACAAAGAAGTTCCTCCTTTGTGTCCCCATCTGTCTCTTCCTACTCAGCACACATTACACACACTACGACTTGACATACTTCACTATCAATTTCCTGGCCACTCTGGGTGTTGTCATTCCAAAATTACCATTTGTACGTTTTGTCCTACTGATTTCGCGTAGTCATTGCTAACCTGGACCTTAGTCACACCGTCTGCGGATAGGTCTCTTTTCCGACTTACCGGATGAGTCGACATAGTATCTCCTTTCTTACACTACCACTTGGCGTCTCAGTGTTTCCTTTTCCTTGTCTTTACGAGCACCCCATTGCTTGCTATATTAGTCTATTGGACAGCACCGTCTACGGGATCGACTTCTCTCTCCCGTTTTACAGCTACGCTTACAACAATCTCCTTATCTGCTGCATGTTCGTGGTGTGACGGGGGTTTGGGGGTAATTCAACAAAGAATACTTGATATATGAATCGGCGTGAGCCGGGTTAGAGTGCGGCAAGGAGCAGTTGTTCCTTGTCTGCAATAAAGCCGAGTTTTAAATACCTACGTGTCCATTATTAGCCTCCTCTCATGCTTGGACCAACACTTGACTGGTGAACCACCATTCGCTTGCTGAGTTCGACCAGTGCTGGGCCTGCTCCATTATACGTACGGGTGTTAAAATGCGTCGGTTTTCAGCTTATATAGACTACCTGGGCTTTTCGCAGCACTGCTTGTACATCCAGGCGTCTCCGAGTCTATACCAAAGTGGTCCTTCCATATGGCTGTGCGTGTTTCTGCAACTGTTGGACTACGCCATATAGCCCGATGCTAGTTCCTAGACATGGAAAAAGAGAAACCAGCCGACCCTCGGTCAGCCAATGCTGGTATAATGAGCCGATCCCGGAGATAGTGCATCCGAGCTAGCGATTCAGATATCGAAAGACCGGCAATGCATGGTCTCTGTACATGGCTGATGGTGATATGATACTCCATGATATCAGTAGTTTGGAAAGTAGATTGATATTCGATTCGGCATGTATTGCGTTGATCGAGCAGAACACAATTTCCGCTTTTCTTTCATGTCAGGTAAATATATATTTTACGGTACGGACGAAAGTCCGCGGTCAACAAGCGGCAACATATCATTATGTTAGTGAGGCAAGCCATGATTGTATACTATAGATAATGCATAAAGGAACACGAAAGAATAGAAAAATAAATGAACTGAGGAAGGTGATGCAAAAGAAAACAGCAAAAAATGAACAAATCAAGTTCAGACGCCAGTGGTTGGCGCTGCTGGGAATCGAACCCAGGTCGAGACGGAGCTGTGGGGAGCCACAACGTCGCATGATAACCACTACACTACAGCACCTTGATTTGATGACAGGCCGGAAGACTCTTTGCTTGATATAGCAAACCAAACTCCAGTACAGGAAATTGACGATTCGCGATCTCCTGCTTCACTATAACCATCGGTATATAACGAAGGAGTCGATCGCTTGGAATAATACGGTGTTGACGTGTCTCAAAACATATAAAAATCGGCCAGCACCTTCGTAGTAGTCAAATGGAACCCCTCCGATAAGCGTCGCGGGTTCGCGTTGACGCGCCTAATCGATAACCAAATTATGTACTCGCTGTCACCCACCTAGAAACTCACCTCGTCAGCAAAGATCAGTGCCGATGACGATAGCTATGGCCACAGAGGAAGGGGCGTCTCTGCCTCTGTATCGCCCGACAAAGGCGATCCCTTACGAACTCGTCCAGCATTGTGGCATATTCCTCGAAGAAAAGCTATGTTGGTTTGCCCGCTCACCATATTACCGATGCCATGCACTGACACGAAGCCATACCCAGACACACAAGCACTCAATCTTCTACTGAACATACTGTCGCCCGGTGCCATTGCCTCAGGACCCGTCTACGTCCCCTCTCCGCAGTACCTTGCAGTCGCAGCCACGTTTCTCATCCACCCATCCACCACCAGCCGAGCCAAGACAGAAGAAGAGGAAGAGGCACCGAACGCAGCGCTACGACTGCTCCGACTCACCAACACGCTTGTCGGACCGATTTCTGCCAAATTTACAGCGGCGTTTGCATTCAATCATTTCGAGTCCTCTCGGCGGGGAAGGCGGCGGCGTGTAGAGGACGACGAGAACGCGAATGGCGACATCTCGAACGACGACACGAGGACACTGAACATCGACCTGTGCCAATCGGCATCTCTCTGGTCTCGCGCGGAAGACTTCTGGCATGCCGTAGGGTGGGCGTTCAACTGCTCTGTCCTACATCCAGAACGGTGGGCGCGATGGCAGATATGGCTGCAGTTCATGTGCGAGGTTCTCGAGGACGACTGGAACGAGCGCAAGAGGCAGTGCACGGGTGTCGCGAATGACGAAACCCGTCGCGAAGTGCTCGAAAGAAGCTTGATTTTCCGGTACATTGCCGGCGGGAGCACTCCGTACGGGCGGAATCGAAGAATCCTACGGGCCATCTTCGCAGATGGCGGCTCAGCCTCCGTCAGCGAATTCCGCGAGGTGTTCCACAACGAGCTGAAAAAGCTCAAGCGCGAGAGCAACAATATCAAGAAGCGCGAAGGTGAAGTCAATATCGACGAGGACCAATTCGGCGACTACCTGTCCAACGAGGACGAGGACGAGGACGGGTCCGAAGCAACAGACTCCGCAGCGCCGGCCCCGGCCCCTGCCAGACGTCCAACCCGTCAATCCAAGCGCAGCAGGCGAGGCGCCGCCCCCAAAGACACTCCAACCGCTGATGCAGTCACCGCCGATACGCCAAGCACCGCCCAGGTCCACGGCGGTGTCGCCCTCCTCGGCGGCTTCCCATCGCTCGCCCTCCGCCAACGCCTCCTGCACCTCCTCTCCGCCGTCTCCGAGGACCTCCCCGCCTCCTTCACCACCCTCGAGGAACTCTACCACCTCTTCGTCGAAAATATCCGCCACCTGCCTCTTCCCATCTACCAAGCGTTTGTCAGCCCCTTCGTCCTCCCGCACTTCTCCGCCGCCGCGCAGACCACCCTCTGCGAGTTCCTGCTGTTCCGGATGCGCGAGAACGCAGCCCCGGACACAGACGAGGAGTATCTGAATCAGGCCAAGCTGGAGGAGTGTTTCCTGCCCTATGCGGCTAGCACGCCTAGCATCGTCGATAATGCTAAGATGTCCATCGCGCTGGAGTCGCTTCTGGTGCTCCTGGCGGATAGTGATATGCTGACTGTCACGCCGGAGCTAAAGTCTGCCGTGCAGGAGGGGATCATGGCCCGGGCGGAGAAGGTCCAGGTGGAAACGAGGAAGAACCAAAGTAGTCGCAAGACGGAGGATATCGAGTGGTGCTGGCTGCTGGAGAGTGGTGAGCGGTTGATGTTTCTGGTGGATGAGGTTCTCTCGCGGAAGGGTGCTTCTGCGAAGTAGTTGCCATGATTGGCACGCTGTTTCTATATCTTCATTGTGTCTATTTCATGATACCCCTGTCTCGCACCAGTCCTGTCTAGTTTTGATGTCAATTGATTCACCTAAAACATGGTATCTAATGTTAAATTGCATATGTACAAATATTTGATCAGAGCAAGTCGGGTTGAAGACAACAGCAACGTCAAGTAGCGCAGTATAACAAGGTAAAACTGGCCATGCCATCTATGGCGGCGGGCGAGGCCCAATGATCTGCCGCCTTGCTCCTCCTACACCCAGGCCGGGTCCTCCTCGGTTCTGGTTATCACCACCCATGAAACCGTACTGGTGTACATCCCAGGCGCCCTGGCCCGGCCCGACACCAACGTTAGGATCTTTCAGACCCTTTGCGGCTGCCTCGCGCGTCTGCTTCTGACTCTCTTCCCACTCACGCTGCCGCTCGCGCTCGCGCTCCATTTCCCGCTCCAGTAGGGACTTGGAGGCCCACCCGCCTGCTTTTGTCTTCTGTTGCGCCGCGGCTCGGCGGTTATTTTCTTCGTCGACCTCCGCGGTGGTGGTGTAGTCCTGTGGGCGGTGAGTTGCGGGCTTAGGGGCGACAGGTGGACGGTTAGATGCGAGGAAGCGGTCGACACGGCTTTCCTGGCCCTGGGACTTGTTGGCATAAGCGGCTGGGTCGGGGAGCGGCCGTGGCGATGCAGCCGCCGATTGCGATGTGGTCGGTTCTGGAAGTGCCCTGGGCGGCATCGGAGGCGGCGCATTGCTGGGGTCGGACTCGGCAGTTTCGTCGTGGGCTTGATGCTTCTGCCATTCGGTACGGAGCATTCGGCGTTCTTGCTCAAGAGACGACAGGCTGTAGCTGGGCTTCGGAGGAACAGGCACAGGGCGCGGACTCTGTGCTTGCGGCTTGCCTGTTTCTTTCTCCTGCAGCTCCTGACGCTCGCGCTGATACTGGCGCTCCCGTTCCTGGGCGAGCTCCAGCTCCCGCTCCAATTCTCTGATGCGCTGGCTCTCCATGGACTCGCCAGTAAGGCCGGCTTGATATTGACTGAGAAATTGTCCCGTCAGACGAACATCACCTGCCTCCCGCTGACGCTGTCTCGCTTTGTTTAGTCTCTCTTCTGCCTCTTTCTCCTCCTGTTGGCGCTTCCGTTCCTCCTCTTCCCACTTTCGCTGTTCCTCGTCCCACAGTCGACGCTCCTCCTCCAGCCGACGCCGCTCCACCTCTTTCAGACGAGCGGTCTCTTCTGCCCACCTGCGTTCCTCTTCGGCCTTGGCGCGCTCTTCCTCCGCCTCCCGCTCTTGACGGCGGATGCGTTCAGCCTCTTCTCTCTCGATGCGCTGCCGCTCCTCTTCCTCCCGCCTGCGCTTTTCCTTCTCTTCCAGGCTTGGAACAAATGGCGAAGGTGTCGTGATCTGTCGACGAGCGCCAAAGGCCACTCCTTGGTTGCCCTGACTGGCACCGCCCATATACCCATATTGATGGATATTCCAGGCCGGCATTGTCACCTGCTCGTCCGCCTTCTTGCTCCAGCTGCTGACAGCCGGCGACTTGGCGGGGCTAGATGTCCCAGAATTGTTGCTGACGTTGCTGAGTCCTCGAGATCGTAGAGGAGTATTGGCCGATTGACTCGAGCCGGTCAAATGAGGACTGACGGCGCCTCCTTTGCTCTGAACACCAATTGCCCGGGGAAATTTGCTGGGTTGAAGCGCATTAGCCCTCCGGCTGAAGGCCATCAGACACTGCAGGACCTGCGCGGGATCCTTGGATTCGTAGAGATCGACAGTCAAAAAGACATCATGTGGCGGTAGGCTGAGAGGGGGTATTTGGCATGCGCGTAGGAAATGCGAGATGTTTTCCATCTGTACGAAGGGCATAGATGACTGCTTATACTTGACGCCGGGGGAAACGGCGAGGTTGACCAGTCTGTGAAATCCATCCAATTAGTACATATTTGCAGCGTTCTGCTGGGAGACACTCGCCTGCAAAGCGCGACGCCATCTTTAAGCGCATCCAGGAGATCCCCTGCTGGAAGTTTCTCATGAAGTGTCTCTTCAATCCATGTGCGGACCTCTGCGGCAGCCTGCGGGGTATAGCGGGACAAGCGCAAACTGCGCAGGTCCTTATCTAATGATGTAACTGACGCCATATCGGGCCGAATAGAAATCAATGTGACTCTGCGTTCATACAGAAAGTCCACTGGAGACTTGAGGAACCAGGATCTGACAGATCGAGGGATGTGAACCCCTGTTTATGCTGCCCGACAGGAACGGTGGGAAGAACCGCGGATCTATGTGGGCTTCAAGGGGTAGCGTAATAGGGGGAAAGAGGTTCTAGAAGAAGCTTGATTAAGGGGGGTATTGAGAAACAATGAACGGAGAACCTATGTATAAGGAGTTGAAGATGGAAAGAGACTCTACAAGGATAGAAGCGATGGTAAAAAGAAGAAGTTAGTTGATGATGATCTATGGAATGGAATGTGGTTGTCGGCCAAACAAATTACGCCTGTCGTAATAGTAATAATAATCCCAATACGATTACGAGCACTGCCCGATGACGTTTTTCTGCGCCCTCAATACTATCGATAGCCTCCATCTTCGTCGCAACACAGCAAGCCACGTTTCCATCGCGCCCTGATCGGTGTTTGTTCTAGGCTGCCATCAATAGTTCCATCTCACCTGGGACCCATCCTAATGAGTCCAGTGAACAGCTTGTGGTTCAAGTGGAAAAGCCTTCGATTGCCGTGGCGAAGATCCTTTCTTGTCGGTAGGTATCCCCAGCACTAACTAACTGTCTATTACTACGTTGCCTGCAGGTCCTCTGACAATATATTTCAGGCACCGACTTATCCGGAAACACATACTGGGAATTCAAAGACTCACTGAATGCCGGGCGATACCGGCGGATCGTCAAGTACAACTCCAAAACCCACTATGCGGACGTGCAAGT